TCTGAGAAGATCTTGGAAGGCTTTGGAAAGAAACTGCTGAAGCCGCCGCTCTGGACCCTTTGAGGTTTTGCCTCTTCCCGAAGCTCAACTGCCGTTGCTGGGGCTGCTTTGCCTTGATCTGCTTTCAAAGGATCAACTCGCAGATCCAGGTTGGAACATGCCCAGCGTGGTCAATAGTTTTCAATGTGTGGGTCCATCTATGATTCGTGTTCAAACACAAACAGTGGAATCAATGAATTGCTTGCACTCTCAGTGGTCATTGCGTGGCCCTACAAACCACAAAATATACAAAATAGAATTCAAATAAATATGAGTCATAACAAGTCAAAAGCCATCTGGCAAATCAAGCCGTTGGCTTTGAGTGGTTTGTCTGTGGAGCGGCGCAAACTTGATCCCTAAATGAGCTTGGTTTGCCAAAACGTGCTTTGCCCGACCGAACCTCGACGAAAAAATGATGGAACTGAGTTCCGCGTTATTACTTTTTTTTGGATACGCGTTGCATGTTCAAAGAATAAACAGGTGCTTCACCCAGCACTTCAATCCGCAATGTAGGTGTGTTTGTATTTTCTTCCACCAGTGCTGTCATCGGAATAGGGATGCAAGCTGCAAATATTCGCACAACTAACTCCCATACATCATGCAATATGCTTGCAAATACTTGTGTTGCATAAAATCTCAGCATTGCATTGTTATATCCCAATGCTATTGAATCTACAAAATAATTTCATTACATAGTGTCGTGCTACAGGAATTAAGTTGCTGTTTTGTTGCTGTGAGACTTTCTTTCCACTGTTCGACTACATGAGAATATCTATCTACTCTATATATATACACGTATATGTGACATGTGTGATATAGATATGTAGATGGACTAGATACAGACAAGATGAGTTTAAGATTTGTATTGGGATTTGGATTGGGAGTGGATTAGGATTAGGATTAATTATATATATAGGTTTGGTTTGGTATATAGATACATACACAAACATATGTATGTCACGTCACATTGAAATGCACTGCATAAGTGTGATGTCCAGTTGTCTCCGTGCATGTTGTGAGCAATGCCACTGCTTGTTCCAATCGCGACACGTTTAACGAAGTCTACAGTAATTCTATGCTACAGAATAGATCTGAATAGACTGACTTGGCATGCGTTGCAACTTCTTTCTCTAATTGAGTCTTGCGCAGTCCCGGCTTGCGGAGTTGGCACGGCTTGCCTCTGAACACAATTGACATGGATATCAGGATATCCCGGATACGTTTGAAGTCAGCACAGTGTAACTGCGAGCAACGCAGTTCAAATAGAAAGTGG